AGGAGGAGGAGGAGGAGGAGGAGGAGGAGGAGGATCAGATCAGACACCTATAGGGGATTCGCTCCAAATCTTGGCTGAATGAGACGCTCTAGGACCGACGTAACAGCATCGAATGTCGGACAACCCGTCAAGAGGAAAAGGTGAAAGAGAAGGAGGAGGAGGAGGAGGAGGAGGAAGGAGGGAACAGGGAAGAGGTGGAGGAGGAGGAAAAGGTGGAGGAGAAGGAGGACGATCAGCAGTGCCATCGGGGGCCCGAGCCGCGGCCCCCGCCACTGGGAGACCGCTGCTCCTGCACGCGCCCCTGGCGCCGCGCGTCCGTCGCTGGCGGACCCCCCCACTTCTCCGGATCCGTCGTCGGCCACCCGGATCCTAAATCCCATATAGCCCTAGCCCTAACCCCCTGACCCTAACACCCTAATCCGAACACCCTAACCTTGACCCCCCAAAGCCTACCACCTTAAACTTCAGTCCCTAACCCCCTAACCCGAACCCTAACACCCTAACCCTTACCTACCACCCGAACCCTAACCCCCTGACGCTATCCCTATCACCTAGCCCGAACCCTGCAACCCAAATCCGAACCCCCTAACCCGAACCCTAACCCGAACACCCTAATCCGAGCCCCCTGGCCCCAATCTTAGCCCCCTAACCCTAGCCCGAATACCATGACCAAAACCCCCTGGCCCTAATCCTAACCATACCCCCCTATACCAACCACCCTGATCGTATCCCTCTAACCCGAACACCTTACCCCTAACCCTAACCCTAACCCTAGTCCTAACCCTAACCCCTACCCTAACCCTAACCCTAACCCTACCACGCTAATTCTGTACGCCGAGCCCTACGCCTAACCTGAACACCCGAACCCTGCCCCGACCACCCGAATAACCAACAGCCTATGACTATTGAAGCCCTCAAATCACTCATGCCGCCCCTTCGGCCCTTCGGCCGCCCCGTATGTCCGCCCCGCCTTGCCCATGTACAAGATACGGTGCTCTACCCATGCGGCCCGAACCCCGTGCAACGAATCTGCTTTCCCGTGCATGCGGCCCGAATCCCTTGCAAAAAAATCCCCCGGCATCCTCCCCCGGATCCCGCCTGGACCCCCCTGGGACGTCATGATGCTCTCTTCTGACCCTACTAGAAACCTATCAGTCTTCGCTGTTAGGTAACTAGAAACCTATCTGTCTTCGCTGTTAGGTTAAAATGCCCCGCGGCGCACAGAGGCGCCCCCAACTCGGGCGACCCCTGTCGAAGGAACTACACGATCCCGTACACGCCTGCGCGCGTGTATTTGTGCCCGTGGCGCTCCCCGGCGGCTCCCCGACGCTGCCCAGGCGCTTCCCCGAGGAGCCCCCCAGGCTCTTCCGGGCGCGGCCCAGGAGCTGCCACGGCGGCTCCAGGGCTCCCCAGGCGCCCTGGGGCGCTCCGGTGCGCGTCCCTCCGCGCCGGTGAGCTCCTGGAGGCGGCCCCGGGTGTTCCCCAGGCCTTCCCGAGCGACTCCCAGGCGTCCCCCAGGCTCTTCCAGGCGCGGCCCAGGAGCTGCCACAGCGGCTCCAGGGCTCCCCAGGCGCCCCGGGCGCTCCGGTGCGCGTCCCTCCGCGCCGGTGAGCTCCTGGAGGCTTCTGGGGGGAACTCGGGGCTCGTGACGCCGCCGCTCGACGCACGGCGCGCGGGTGCCCGTGCACGCGCCCTTGGCAGATGTGCTCGCGATACATCTGCTAAATGCTGGTTCATACTGTTCTTCGCGAAAGGTACGGGCGCGACCTCGACGCTTGCGGGTCAAGAGCCGAGCCCGTACCCTTCCCCAGGGGCCACCGCGTGGAGGCTGGACAGTGGCCCCCTGGGTTTCCGAGGCTATGACCGCCTCGATACGGGGGCTCAGCTCCGAAGGAGCGACCTGGAGTCGGCGATGCAACGCCAATACATCGGCGATACGTCGTCTTGTCCGATTGGCAAGAGCATCGCCGTCGTCGTCGACGTGTTGGGTTCTGTATGTCATGGGTCATGGGTGGGTCCACGCCCCCCTGTCTGGCGCAGGGGGTGGGGGGCCGTCCGACCCCCCCTCCCCTTTGAAAAAGGGGGAGGGGGGTCCGAACTCCTCCCCCCGCCCCCCGGACCACAGGGGGGGAGGGGGTGGGTGGTCCGACCCCCCCCCCCCTCCCCCTCCCCTTTGAAAGGGGAGGCGGGGGGGGGGGAGACCGTTCGCACACGGCCCCTCTACAACTGCGGCGGCCCCCCGGAAGCGCGCTTTGCCTACACAGACGGCCTCGGCACGGCGCGCGCTCTCTTTCTGCGTGCGCAGCCGAGCAGCGCAGCGAAGATAGTGCCTGAGCCCGGGAGGCCCGCCTCTAGCGGTACACATGCGAACCCTACCCCTACCCCCCACGACTTCTGAGGGTGAGGGTGGGGCTCGCTTCGCTCGGGAGCTCCCGAACGAAGTGAACACCACCCTCACCCTCAGAAATCGTGGGGGGCAGGGGTAGGGTTCGCATGTGGCCCTCTAGCCTCGCACGCAAGGCCAAGCAGAGGGCGGCGCAACGGGGCCCAGACGTCAGACCGCAGGAGCAGGAGCAGCGCACAGAGGAACTGCAGGCGGAGCTGCGAGGATGGAGGACGTGGTGGAGGCAGCAAGAACGGCCGCCTGCAGAAACACGACATCGGCAGCAGTGGACGCAGTATGGCCAGCAGTGGCGGTGCTGGACGCCAGACGTGTACGAAGACACATGCCAGGACCACAGCGCGCGAGAAGCGACCACAGCAGTGGCACCAAGCGCAAGGGCAGTGGCAGCAATGAACACGGCATCAGGTACAGGCCTGCAGTGGTGCTTTCAGATAGGGGCGGCAATGGCGGAAGAAGGTAAAACCAAGCCAGGCCGCCCATCCGGCAGAAGGCGGCAGCGACAGCCGGAGCAACGTGCGAGAAGGGGCGACAAGGACAGGCTGTGGTATCAGCGAGAGTGGCAAGGAGCAGCACAAGCCCGATGCCATCAGCCACGAGCGTGGCACAACGAAGCACGAGCCCGATGCCATCACCTACGACGGTGGGCCGCGAAGCACGAGCCCGACGTCATCAGCTGCAGTGTTGGGGCTGGTCCCCTCGTGCGAGAAGGGCCGGCAGTGGTGCGAGAAGGGCCGGCAGTGGTGTGAGAGGGGCGGCAGTGGTGCGAGAAGGGCCGGCAGTGGTGCGAGAAGGACCAGCAGGTGGGCTGCGAGAAGGGCCGCCAGTGTCAGCAGCGTCAGCAGGCAGAGGGGGCAACACGAAACACGAGAGATGCAACGACAAGCTCGAGCCTAACGCCATCAGCTACGAGGGATGTGCAGAGAAGGACTCGCCAGACGCCATCAGCAGCGCAAGTGGGGGCACGGACCGTGCGCCACATACTAACTACGACGTCCAGGTGCTGCCAGACACGGCGTACAAGCTGTTCAAATCAGGACGGCCCGAAGTCGCATCTAGCGCACTCAAAAATACCCACAAGGCCGCTCCCCACGCCGTGTGGCACCGAGGCATCAGGCACCTGCACCAAAGCATCGCTACCTGCCTCGTGGACGAGCAGTGCTACAAACATATGATGGAGGAACAGTGGTCGATAAATGAAGAAAGCATGCAGTGGAGACGCGGGGAGGAGGATGAGGAGGAGGAGGAAGAGAAGGAGAAGCAGGGAACGGCTTCCAGCAATGCAGAGGATGAGCAGAACCTGGCAGGTACAACATTATTCGGCAAGAGTGTGATGGCAGACGCCATCAACTACGCACGCAGGTCAGCGTGTGTGAGAAAGGGTGGCAGTGGCTGTGCGAGAAGGGACGCCAGTGGCAGCGCAGGCAGGCAGTGGCAGCCGTGGGAGACAGGCAATGGCGGCCGCCAACCGCAAACCTGGCGTCATCAGCTAAAAGGGTGGCAACACGAAGTACGACTCCGACGTCATCACCTACGAGGGTGGCGACGCGAAACACAAGCCCGACGCCGTCTGCTACGAGGATGGCACTGTGAAGCACGAGCCCGATACAATCAGCTACGAGAGTAGTACAGCGAAGCGTGACCCCGACGCCATCAGCTACGAGGGTTGCTTCGCGAAGCACAAACCCGACGTTGCAACCTACGAGGCAGGTGACGCGAAGCACGAGCCCAAAGTTGTCAGCTACGAGGGTGGTGTCGCGAAGCACGAGCCTGACGCCATCAGCTACGAGGGTGGCGCAGCTACAGGCTCGGTCAGCGGCGTACGAGAAGGAGTCGAAGATGGCGACCAGGAAAACGGAGATGACCAGGTTTACGTCGGAAACATCTCATACGATGCCGATTGGCGCGAACTGAAGGACCACATGAAACAGGCGGGCACCATGAAATACTGCCGAATGCTCACCGACGATGGCACTGTCTACAAGTTAGATATCCCACTGGCGAAGACGCCCAACTGGCCATCGACACAATAGCGAATACGGAAATCAATCATGGGCCGGAGGATTCTAGTCAAGTGGTGGCAGAGTCCGCACCAGTAGATACAAATCGTTGATACATGCGACCGTGCTGGCGAGAGCTGGCTTGCAGGGACTACAGCAGCTGCGCTACATCGTGGAGCGGCGCATGCGAGGAACGCGGGCAGTGGGGGGGAGGAAGTGGTGGTGAGGATCGGCTGCAGTGGTAGGAGCGCTCGTGCTTCGCGAGCGTGTGGCCCATCTGTTGATGTATGCTGTCGAAGCAGTACGGAAGGAAGGAAGAGCAGTAGCAGCAGCGGCAGCAGGATGAGGAGGGATCATGATGATGATGATGATGATGATGATGATGATGATGATGATGATGATGATGATGATGATGATGATGATGATGATAATGAGGAGGAGGAGGAGGAGGAGGAGGAGGGGGAGGAGGAGGAGGCGAAGAAGAAGGGCGAGGAAAAGGCGCACGATGGGGCAAGAAGAGGCCGAGCAGGAGCAGGAGCAGGAAGCGAGAGGGGACGGCAGGCTACTAGCAACGGCGCAGAAGCGGCGAGCGGCACGACTCACGGCTTGGGAACAGCGGGCAGGTCGACGTAACGCCCGTCCTTGCAGTATGACCCGCTTACTGCGGCGGGGCTGCCGCCGAGGCGCTTGGCCGCGATCTCCGCCCACATCTCCCCCCACCGCGCGTGCAGGGCATCACAGAGCCCCATGCCCGGGCGACTCGGGTCGACGTCGACGCAGCTCCAGGGCTTCATGCAATTGCCGGTGAAGTGTGCAGCCTTCACGCCGCGGGCGACGGTCGCCAAGTCCCGGTCCTTGAGGTCCCGGGTGAGGCGGTCTGTGAGGAGCACGTCGTAAACGTCTCGGTCAACGACCTTCATCCTCGAGCCGGGCTGGGACGGCTTGGCGATGCCCTCCTCAAGCTCCCTGTGCTCGATCTGGATCGGCGGGAGCTTCTCCAGCGCGTCCTTGTTGAAATAGTACTGGAGGAGGCCATCAGGGCCTATGCCGCCGTACCAGTACCCGACGTGCGAGTTCTTCCAGCCCGCCCCGGACCAGTCGCCCTCCCGCGTGAGGGCCTTGACGTTCTCGAAGTCCGTGGCGTTTGGCCTGAAGAGGAGGAACCCCCCCTGGACGGGCGGGATCCGCGAGCCACAGCAATCCAGGCCGTGGTCGTACGTGCCCACGAAGTCATCCGGGAGCTCCATCAACTCGTCCATCGGGTCCAGAACAATCGTGTCGGCGTCCAGAACCGCCACACGGTCGAACTGGGTCAGCGACATCCCCCAGTACTTGATGGTCTCCTCCTCGAGCGCAAAGGTCAGGCCCTTCCCGGTGCCCTGCGTGTGCCCCATCTCGCTCCGCGCAACCTCGGACTGAATCTCCGCGAGCGGCACGGGAACCGGCCTCCTCACGACGTCGTCGAAGCCGAAGGACAAGAGCATGTCCCTCGCCTCGTCGGGCAGCCTCGTGGGGGCCAGGACCAGCGCCGTCGCGTCGTGCCTGCTCCTGGCCTTCGCCTTCTGCAGCCCGTGCGCCATGATGGCCATCGCGTCCTGCCAGTCCTGGCTCTGCAGGTCGGTGACGAAGATCGCATAGGCCACCTTTGACGAGCCAACAACACACACCCATACCCACAGGGGGGTCGGAGAGGGCTATGGGTGCGTGCTGTCGGATGGGGTCCCCGTTCGAACGGGAGCGTTCCCCAGGGTCCGACGACCCGCACCCATACCCATAGCCAGTCCTCCTCCCAACGACCCCCCTATGGGTGTGGGTGTGTGTTGTTCGTTCGTCAACCTTGAGGCGGCCTCCCGACCTCGTGCCGCGCAGCAGCTCCGAGGCGCAGAGCTGAGCCAGCAGCCCCGCACCGAGGAGCCACCGCGTCGCCATGGAGTACCGGGATGTGCCGAAGCGTGGCATCAGAGTGAACAAGAAATCTCTTCGGTCTTTGCTGATTGAGCCAGAACGCACACGAGGCGTCGGGGTCGGGTCGTCGGCACATCAAGCGTCTGTCACTCCATCGCAGTCCATCCCCCGTCACCCTGAAACGTCGCTCACCTCGTCGCCCAGCATCCTGAGATGAGATGGTGCAGCGCTGGGCATCCTTGGCGACTGGGGAAGCGTCCGCAAGGTCGGGCACAATCTCAGGGCTCAACACGCCCTGGCTGGATGCGCAAAGTGGCGCGTGCGAAAGAAGAGAACAGCGGAGAGGGCGGGGGAGGGCGGGGGGCGAGGAGTACGATGGGAGGGAAGGTGAGGTCCAGCGATGGGCCGACGCCAAGAGCCAATCCAAGCCAAGCGTAACCCGTAACGTGGGGACAGAAAGCTATTCGCCCGACGTGCAAGGCGGAAGCGGCGACACGATGCGGCGTTTGGCTCCCCCAGACGGCCGAATCCACAGCCCAGCCAGGGCTGAACATTCGGTGGACAATGACCGACCTCCCCGTCTGCGTTTTCAGAGGCCGTGCTTCACGACAGGGGCGTCGGGCGCAGATCACTCTTCGCAGCTTCCTATGTCTTTGTGTGTGCCTCGGGGGGGGTGTATGACATCTTCTGCTCACGCTCCGATGTAAGATGAGCTGGGGCCGAAGGAGACAGGCTCGGACGAGTGAAAGGATCGAGAGAGGACCAATAACGCTTTCGGCCTTCGTCCTGGCAAGAGGGCTTCACGTGCCCGCGAAACTGCCGGCCCCGGGCACGAAGCCAGGACCCCGTCGGCCGCACTGGGCACGAAGGCGAACGTAGCCGAGACCTGGCAGGTGCTTCCACCCGACCCTGTGCCCTCCGGAGCGCTGGTACATCCGCGGCCGCTTTCATGTGCGCTCGCGTTCCCCACTCGCCAAACGAACAAGGTGGCCCTCGTCGTGTGCTTCCGCGCCGCCTCGGCCACCGTTGCGAGGGACCAGCGCCACGCACCCGTCGGGCGCCGTATCCAGCTGCAGCGAGCGGCTCCGCGGTGACCGAATCGGGGCCGCCAGATCCCGTTTAGTCGGCGAGGCGCGCGGCGGGGAGTGACAGCACGTGGAACTTGTGGTTGGCGGCTGCACCGCGCCTCGTGCGGCACGCGTCGCCTGGGCGCTCCTGGTCAACCCACGAGCGAATCACAGGGACCCGCCAGGAGGGCGCCGCTTGCGCAGCCTCTGGCGCCAATTCTTCCTGTCGCTGCAGGAGGGTCCGGCCCCCATCCCCAGTCAATGCCCAAGGGCCTCGATCCCGTGGGCAGGGCAGGGCGCGCGCGGCCTCCTCCGGGGCCACGCCGCGCGGAACACACAGCGGGACCAGCACACGCTTCTGGGCCCTGCAGGCATTCGCCCACATCGAAGATCCTCGACAGCTTCCCGAGGCCGCACAGGCTCTCGCCGACCGAGCACCGGCCGCCTGCGCATCGGCGAACACCACCCTGGGCGCGTCCAGACTGCTTCGTAGCCCACGTCGCAGATGGCCGCGCCCACGAAGATGGCGGAAAGCTAGAGAGAGAAGGGGGGGAGATACAGTCGGACTCGATTGGACAGGACACGCGAGAGGACACAAGACCCTTCCAAGGGCCACTTTGCCACAGGACTATAGGAAGCACGGGTCGCGAGACACAGGACACAAGGGTACCCTTGATTTGGCAGGGTCAACCTACTAATCTGTGCCGACTGTAGAGAGAGAGAGAGAGAGAGACCCACTACTGGGGCCACACCCCAACACATCTGGAACAAGGGGGGGCGCTCGACGCCGCAAAAGTGGATGCCACTGGTCGCAGATCCCACCAGCAGCACGTCTTCAATCGAGCGAGGTCCTGGCATGCACCTGCATTTTGCTGCAGAAGGTACCTCATTGCCTTTCGGCCCTGTTGTGTGAATGCTGTCGGCCGGAGACGCTGCTCCATGTTGTCGCGTTTCTTGCTTCCGATCGTCGCTGGCTGCTGCATTTGCAACCCACGATCCGCTGAATACATGAATAGAATCACGCGCGCGCGCCTCGCGCGCACATAGGTACTCGCAGCACACGCGCACAGGATTCGTTGACAAAAAGTTGGTAGCCTTTGCAAGAGAATCGAGGATTGACTGGACATGCGCTGCAGACGTGAAGTCATGTCCTCCAATGTCCTGCCACACGTCGCCATGGCCCCTCTCGACTTTAAGGAACGGCAGCAACACCAGACAACCAGGGGCGAGAAGGGGAGGAGAGAGGAGGAGGAGGAGGAGGAGGAGGAGGAGGAGGAGGAGGAGAGGGAGGAGGAGGAGGAGGAGGAGGAGGAGTAGGAAGAGGAGGAGGAGGAGGAAGAGCAGCAGGAGCAGGACATGCAAGTATGCACGAGCACAGAGCCTGGCCAGGCCAATCGGCCTATCTGGGCTGGTCTTGTGATTCAAGCTCACTCCCGAAGGGTTTTGTGTTGCATCCCTTGCCCACCGCTGCCGTTTTATTTCGAACTAGGGCCCTTGGCCTCAGAGCTACGCCCCTCGCGAGGCCGCGAGTACGAAGATCCATCGACAATATTCCATATCAAAGTGGTAGCTTGGAGCGAGTCTCAGCTGCCCGGCGCCGCGCGCCATTCATATCCTGGCGCTGCGCGCCATCCTCTTGTGCAGCCACGACGAAGCCGTCGCGACCCACGGAATCGAAGCCCAGCGTCTTCCTGCTCGCGCTGTTGCTCGGCGCGTACATTAGCGTCAGCGACGCTATCAACGCCTACTTCTCCGACAACGTCAGCGACGCCGTCATCAACTCCTACCCTGCCAACTCCTACGTCAGCGTCAGCGACTCCGACATCCACGCTTACTTCTCCGACAGCGTCAGCGTCATCAACGCCTACTTCTCCGACAGCGTCAGCGACGCCGTCACCAACTCCTACTTCCCGTACGTCAGCGTCAGCGACGCCGACATCCACGCCTACTTGTCCAACAGTCAGCGACGCCGTCATCAACGCCTACTTCTCCGACAACGTCAGCGACGCCGTCACCAACGCCTACTTCCCGTACGTCAGCGTCAGCGACGCCGACATAAACGCCTACTTCTCCCACGACAGCGTCAGCGACGCCGTCATCAACGACTACTTCGCCTACTTCTCCCAGGCCAGCGTTAGCGACGCGAGCATCAACGCCTACTTCTCCTACGAAAGCGTCAGCGACGCAAGCAACGCCTATTTCTCCTACGTCAGCGTCAGCGACGCCAGCATCGACGTCTACTTCTCCGACGCCAGCGTCAGCGACGCCAGCATCAACAGTTACTTCTCCGACAGCGGTGACAGCGACGCCAGCTACTTCTCTTTCCATCTCGACATAATGACGGATAATTATGCGTTCAACACCATCCCTACATGGAAGGGCGACCCGGCAAAGTGGAGAGATTACAAACAGGAGGTCAAGCTCTGGAAGCTCAGTGAGAACCTCGCCGTGGTCCACAGCCTCGCATCGAAGCTCGTGCTGATGCTAAGTGGGACTGCCCGCGGTGCAGCATTGAATATGACTGAAGCGCAGCTGCACCCAGCAGCCGCGGCGGACATCGAAGACCCCGGTGACAAGAAGCGTAATAGGAACCAGGTCGGCATCGAGAACGCGCTACAACACCTGGAGGCCAGTTTGGGTCAGCAGAAGCCTGTGCAGAAGGGCGAGGCCCTCGAGAAGTTCTTCGAATCGGCTCAGCGTCGCCGACGAGGAGGCGAACGCATGACGGATTGGCTCACCCGATTCGAGCTTGGACTACAGCAGCTACGCGAGAATGAGGCGGACCTCGACGCGCTGGACGACGTGGCGGGATGGCTCCTGCTGCGCAAGGCCGGGCTCACGGCGGAGCGCCGAGGACGCGTCGTGGGCAACCTGCCCGACGAGCACTACGGCTACCGGCGCATCCGCGGGCTGCTGGTCGGGATGTTCCCGGGTATACATGCGTCGGAGCGCCACGCCCTCCCGCCGCGGTCATGGACCGACCAGTCGCGCTCACGAGGCGGCTGGCGCAGCAAAGTTTCCCCCCGCCGCGGGGGGCACTCTACCGCTGTCGTCGACGAGCCGGGCGACGAGAGCGACGAAGAGCAAGAGGAGGACGACGAGGAGGAGATCGACGCCCAGGACATGGTTCGCCAGGAGCTCGAGGCCTTCAGCGCCGAGCTCGAGTCCTCCAACGTAGACATCTCCGAGCTGTTCGACGGCGACGACTCTGCCAAGGTCGAAGCTGCCGCAGCTGAACTTGCCGCTATTCCCGAGGCCATGGCCACCATCAGATCGGCTTGGGAGGCCCTCAAGGGCCGCGGCAAGGGGAAGTCCGCACCGCACCGCCGCCCGACCAAGCTATAGAGCCAGGTCGACCAGCGCAAGAGGAACACTTCTTGCTGGGACTGCGGCGAGACCGGACACTGGACAGGAGACAAGGAGTGTCCCACGCCAGGTGCTCGCAAGTTCGCGCCCAAGGACGGCAAGTCAAAGGGCGGTGGGCGACGAGGTCGCGGAGGCCGTCCTCAGCGCCAGGCGCACATCACCGAGCAGGTCCAGTTCGCGGGCGAGGAGATCGCCCTGCACCCGCAGGGACCAGTCACTCCGCCCCCAGAGACGTGTGTGTCGGAGCGGCTCATTCACCACCTGCCAAACGTGAACGTCGCGATCGGCAGCGACAAGCCCGTGGACGAAGGCGTCGGCGTGGTCGACACCGCCTGCCTCTTCTGCGTCTCGGGCAAGAAGTGGTGCGACAACTACGAGGACATCCTCACGAGGATGGGGCCTGCCGACCAGATCCTCGAGGGGCCGGAGGACGAGGTCTACAGGTTCGGCAACGGAGGTGCACTCCCAGGCAAGCTGCGCGTCACCGCGCCGCTTGTGTTGTGCGGCCAGGCTGGCCGCATCGTGTTCAGCGTCGTGGACACCCCCACGCTGGGTTTGCTCATCGGCCGCGGCTTCATCCAGCCCTCCAAGATCGACATCTGAGGCCTGGAAATTGGCACC